TTTCTTCTCATTGAAATTTCTACCTGAAAAGAGACGGGATAGTTTGGTCCACGCTGTTATAGGTCCTGCCTGAAGAATTTGTCCAATACTAAGCTCCATGAAAAACAGCGGAACACCTCCCAGGACAAGAAAGGATGCATATGGGATCAGAAATGCACCTGACAGAAAGAAAATAACAAATATCACAGAAACATAGGTTGTAAAACAACTGTTGTGTTGTGTCGCAGGTACGTGGACAAATCTTAACAGGAAAACATTTGGTGTGTAATTTACCAAAATATATGGAGATACTATTGTTTTCAAAGCAGGACTAATGCTTAAAATAACCTGCCGTCCGCTATCTTGCTCTTTAGGAAGTTTAAGCAAACCACGACGGCAACGGCAACGAGAACGCCACCAAACAAAAGGTTTAATGAGCAAAACAATAGCTGTGCACGTGCGTTATAAATCTTTGTACATTTCTTAGCCGTCCTCTGCACAACAACAACGTGAAATGACTAAGTTCTGCTAATTTTAGAAAACGCGAACGACGGTGGCTAATTTTTCGTATTTTTATTTGGAATTCAACGCTTGCATTATATTCTTAGCTGGAACAAGAGCAAGTTCTGAGACCAACAGGCATACTGAAAAGATCTAGACGATTGCGAAATTCGAAGATGAAGTATAAATTCCTTTTTCACTCGGCGTTGCCCTCGGCGTCGCCTTCGTCCTTGCTTAAGCTTCTTTTTAAGGTAGAGAGGAACATGGGGACAAGCAGTCACTCTCTATTCAAACATAGGCGGCGAAGCAGGCGGGGTCTTTAGCCTCCTTAAACGAAAATTTGGGGAGGCTCACCCCCACGTTTCGGTTCCGAGAATTTCGCTAGCGCGGCACACAATTGGTTTCTGTGGCATTGGCGACTTCCAAATGCACATTTTCTACCATACTCTACGAAGACTAAAAACCTACCTTAGAAGTACCATGAAGCAAGATCGTCTAAACATCTGCTTCTTCCTGCATTGTCATAAGTCAATTACGGACACATTGAACACCGTAGACATCGCAAAGAAGTTTGTTTGTGCAAACGAACAACGCAAAAGACATTTTGCAAAATACGATTGGAAATGCGCTTGGCTTATCGATGAGGCCCCTTCCCCCCACCATGTTTCAAAACGCTCCGCCGCCTCTGTCAAAACATGACCTAAAACAATAGTTCTGTTATTTTACTTAACAATTAAATTATAAGCTCGACATTTCTATCGCGGGATAGTTGACGAGGTCAGTAGTCATTCAAATATTTATCTAAATCCGCTTCACAGACACCTTGGAAACGTAAACACGGGACCGCTA